CAGAATGATCGAGTGGTGAGGCGGAAAAGGCCCACCCCACCTCCAAGGGTCCCGGCGCAGAACAAGCCGGCCACACGCCCCTTCGAGCGCGTAGCCGGTAACGAGCGCGACTTCCGAGCGGCAGCTGGAGGGCAGCCAAAGTTCGGCCTGCGGCACAAGGGCCCGTGGGGCCACGGAAGAAAAGAAGGAAGAGGGGACACCTACCGAGTGCGGGACGGCGTCGGTAAAACCAAGATGTGGCACCACGACCACCTGAAAGCGTATGATGGACAGACGTGCGGTTTGCCGGGAGAGGTGGCCGCCGCGTGGTGCGCGCGGCATCACCCAGATCGCGGCGCGGGACCTGAGCCGCCTCCTACCGCCCTTGGCCCGCCCGCGTCGTACCGAATGCGGCGCGGCTGCCCCTGTACAGTGTCAGGCGGGGGTCCATGAACTGCGCGAATCGCGGGCGCGGTAGTGTATACATACTTGTAAAATGTGAGCTGTCGTACACCTCTCTTGTGTAGGGGGGGGGGGTGTGTTGGGGAGCGGCGGCCGTTCGTATCGGCCGCCGGTAGCGTGCGCCGGCGCTGCAACCTGCAGTCCCGGCCGGCTGGTGACGTAGGTGACGTGGCGGCCGCTGATTGGTCGGCGGGCGCCCAGCCCCCCTATATAATGCGGCGCATCGCCGGCGGCGGCAGTCGCTGAGCGGCAAGGCCGTATAAGAGCTGAGCGGGTGGCTCGGCGGGTGGGACCTCGGGGCTGAGCGGTTGGCTCGCCGAGAGGAGCTCTGGGATGGGCTAGTGGACAAGAGGTCCGGCCTGATTGGCAGTCAGGGTATTAGTGTGTAATGAGCCGATGTGCGCAGATCAATACATTAGATAGCTGAGCCGTGGTGTTTACCCGAGAATGCGTGTTCCGAACATCAGCATGCCGATGCCGAGATGCCGACGTCACCCCGATGTTTGCCGACGTCGGGCCGACGTCAGCATGTTTACTGGGACTTAGGTATGTAAGTGCATTTAGCATCACGCATGTTGATGTACCTATACCTACGCCCTACTACCCTGAATCTATTCTTTGATACTACCGGGCCCTGTTTCAAGTCATGGCGCTACATGACGGTTGACGCCACCGGCAGCACTTTTTCTCTTTGCCTTTTTCTCTTTGCCTCCCTAATTTAAATTTGGGAGATCGGTTGAGACTAGCGGATTTCTGACACGAGATTCGTGCTCAGCGTGTCAGACTTGGTCCCCTAGACCCATTTTTGGCCGAAATTTATGGGGCCCTGGAGCTTGTCAATCTGTAGATGGACGAACTCAAAAACGGTAAATTTGGGTGATCGGTTGAGAATAGCGGATTTCTGACACCAGATTCGTGCTCAGCGTGTCAGACTTGGTCCCCTAGACCCATTTTTGGTCCAAATCGATGGCCCCTGGAGTTTGTCAATCTGTAGATGGACGAACTCAAAAACGGTAAATTTGGGTGATCGGTTGAGAATAGCGGATTTCTGACACCAGATTCGTGCTCAGCGTGTCACACTTGGTCCCCTAGACCCATTTTTGGGCAAAATCGATGGCCCCTGGAGTTTGTCAATCTGTAGATGGACGAACTCAAAAACGGTAAATTTGGGTGATCAGTTGAGAATAGCGGATTTCTGACACCAGATTCGTGCTCAGCGTGTCACACTTGGTCCCCTAGACTCGTTTTTGGGCAAAATCGATGGCCCCTGGAGTTTGTCAATCTGTAGATGGACGAACTCAAAAACGGTAAATTTGGGTGATCGGTTGAGAATAGCGGATTTCTGACACCTGATTCGTGTTTAGCGTGTCAGACTTGGTCCCCTAGACTCATTTTTGGGCAAAATCGATGGCACCTGGAGTTTGTCAATCTGTAGATGGACGAACTCAAAAACGGTAAATTTGGGTGATCGGTTGAGAATAGCGGATTTCTGACACCAGATTCGTGCTCAGCGTGTCACACTTGGTCCCCTAGACCCATTTTTGGGCCAAATTGATGGCCCCTGGAGTTTGTCAATCTGTAGATGGACGAACTCAAAAAACGGTAAATTTGGGTGATCAGTTGAGAATAGCGGATTTCTGACACCATATTCGTGCTCAGCGTGTCAGAGTTGGTCCCCTAGACCCATTTTTGGGCCAAATCGATGGCCCCTGGAGTTTGTCAATCTGTAGATGGACGAACTCAAAAACGGTAAATTTGGGTGATCGGTTGAAAATAGCGGATTTCTGACACCAGATTCGTGCTCAGCGTGTCAGACATGGTCCCCTAGACCCATTTTTGGGCCAAATTGATGGCCCCTGGAGTTTGTCAATCTGTAGATGGACGAACTCAAAAACGGTAGGTAAATTTGGGTGATCGGTCGAGAATAGCGGATTTCTGACACCAGATTCGTGCTCAGCGTGTCAGACTTGGTCCCCTAGACCCATTTTTGGGCGAAATCGATGGCCTCTGGAGTTTGTCAATCTGTAGATGGACGAACTCAAAAACGGTAAATTTGGGTGATCGTTTGAGAAAAGCGGATTTCTGACACCAGATTCGTGCTCAGCGTGTCACACTTGGTCCCCTAGACCCATTTTTGGTCCAAATCGATGGCCCCTGGAGTTTGTCAATCTGTAGATGGACGAACTCAAAAACGGTAAATTTGGGTGATCGGTTGAGAATAGCAGATTTCTGACACCAGATTCGTGCTCAGCGTGTCACACTTGGTCCCCTAGACCCATTTTTGGGCGAAATCGATGGCCCCTGGAGTTTGTCAATCTGTAGATGGACGAACTCAAAAACGGTAAATTTGGGTGATCAGTTGAGAATAGCGGATTTCTGACACCAGATTCGTGCTCAGCGTGTCACACTTGGTCCCCTAGACCCATTTTTGGGCGAAATCGATGGCACCTGGAGTTTGTCAATCTGTAGATGGACGAACTCAAAAACGGTAAATTTGGGTGATCGTTTGAGAAAAGCGGATTTCTGACACCAGATTCGTGCTCAGCGTGTCAGATTTGATCCCCTAGACCCATTTTTGGGCCAAATCAATGGCCCCTGGAGTTTGTCAATCTGTAGATGGACGAACTCAAAAACGGTAAATTTGGGTGATCGGTTGAGAATAGCGGATTTCTGACACCAGATTCGTGCTCAGCGTGTCACACTTGGTCCCCTAGACCCATTTTTGGGCGAAATCGATGGCCCCTGGAGTTTGTCAATCTGTAGATGGACGAACTCAAAAACGGTAAATTTGGGTGATCAGTTGAGAATAGCGGATTTCTGACACCAGATTCGTGCTCAGCGTGTCACACTTGGTCCCCTAGACCCATTTTTGGGCGAAATCGATGGCCCCTGGAGTTTGTCAATCTGTAAATGGACGAACTCAAAAACGGTAAATTTGGGTGATCAGTTGAGAATAGCGGATTTCTGACACCATATTCGTGCTCAGCGTGTCAGACATGGTCCCCTAGACCGATTTTTGGGCCAAATCGATGGCCCCTGGAGTTTGTCAATCTGTAGATGGACGAACTCAAAAACGGTAAATTTGGGTGATCAGTTGAGAATAGCGGATTTCTGACACCAGATTCGTGCTCAGCGTGTCACACTTGGTCCCCGAGACCCATTTTTGGGCGAAATCGATGGCCCCTGGAGTTTGTCAATCTGTAGATGGACGAACTCAAAAACGGTAAATTTGGGTGATCGGTCGAGAAAAGCGGATTTCTGACACCAGATTCGTGCTCAGCGTGTCAGACTTGGTCCCCTAGACCCATTTTTGGTCCAAATCGATGGCCCCTGGAGTTTGTCAATCTGTAGATGGACGAACTCAAAAACGGTAAATTTGGGTGATCGGTTGAGAATAGCGGATTTCTGACACCAGATTCGTGCTCAGCGTGTCACACTTGGTCCCCTAGACCCATTTTTGGGCGAAATCGATGGCCCCTGGAGTTTGTCAATCTGTAGATGGACGAACTCAAAAACGGTAAATTTGGGTGATCAGTTGAGAATAGCGGATTTCTGACACCAGATTCGTGCTCAGCGTGTCACACTTGGTCCCCTAGACCCATTTTTGGGCGAAATCGATGGCCCCTGGAGTTTGTCAATCTGTAGATGGACGAACTCAAAAACGGTAAATTTGGGTGATCGGTCGAGAAAAGCGGATTTCTGACACCAGATTCGTGCTCAGCGTGTCAGACATGGTCCCCTAGACCCATTTTTGGGCCAAATCGATGGCCCCTGGAGTTTGTCAATCTGTAGATGGACGAACTCAAAAACGGTAAATTTGGGTGATCGGTTGAGAATAGCGGATTTCTGACACCAGATTCGTGCTCAGCGTGTCACACTTGGTCCCCTAGACCCATTTTTGGGCGAAATCGATGGCCCCTGGAGTTTGTCAATCTGTAGATGGACGAACTCAAAAACGGTAAATTTAAGTGATCGGTCGAGAAAAGCGGATTTCTGACACCAGATTCGTGCTCAGCGTGTCAGACTTGGTCCCCTAGACCCATTTTTGGTCCAAATCGATGGCCCCTGGAGTTTGTCAATCTGTAGATGGACGAACTCAAAAACGGTAAATTTGGGTGATCGGTTGAGAATAGCGGATTTCTGACACCAGATTCGTGCTCAGTGTGTCAGACTTGGTCCCTGGGGCAAGTTTGGGCGAAATCGGCGCACCCTGAATATCAAACTGTAGTTGGATAATCAAAGTGCTGCTAAATTGACAGCAGTCGCATTTCATTCGATCTTTGTCGTTCATTTGCCAAGGCCATTGTTTCAAAGCGGATATCAGAAAAACAAATTTACCCTAAAATGACGTCAAACTACATGTTTGATGATTTCTAAAGTAGTGTTTAACAAATGTATCAATTTTGTAGCTCTTGTTGACACCAATTAATTAGTATAAAAATCAAAATTGCACAGAAAGGTTGAAAAGATTGTTCCTCAAAGAAATAGACGTCATTTTTCAAATTTTTGATAAAACATTTTCCGGTGTAGCTGGCGCAGATAAGACATTTGTCATTTGTTTACTTTTTGTATCATCTCGGAAATTTTTAGTTATGGGCGTTTTTATTAATTTTGTTGTGCAATTAACCCTATGTAGATGTGTGATGACATCTCCCCTGGTCGTCAACACATGGCCCTTTACGAATGCGACCGAGACAGGTGTGACATTTTTAGTTTTTTATTTTATTATTTGCATGCATTGTATTGCACATGTTCAGTGCGATAACAATAAGATTAACTATAAGTTCAGAAGCAATTTTCTTATTTTAGAAGCATTAGCATACTTATCCGCGTCTTGTCCACGTCTCGTTTATTTCATATAGTCTTGTATGATATGATCTGTACCACAAAAAACTTGGTGCATGCTTACAAATTTCAACCACCTGAACCGTGAACCTGTCAATGTTCAGCCTGGCAGATCCTGTCAGCATCTGGCTCTGCTCTGGATGCTGTGGAGATGGGCTGCACCACTTGCGAGAAGCTGCAGTGTGATGGCACTGTGGGGTTTGGTGGTAGTCCAGATGAGAATGGCGAGACAACACTTGATGCCATGATAATGGATGGGTAAGCATTGAGGAGTGAGGACGTCCGCATCGTTATTGCATTGCTTCTTGTTCTATGAACTGCACATTGTAGACTGACCCTGATTATTTTCTTGAGATCATTGATATTTACTTCAATGCTTATATAATGAATGATTTTATTGCACATGCTATATTGTCATTTGAAATTAAGAATGCCAGCCAATGTAAACTCTGCTGCCCGCTCCAGCACTCGTGAAATTGGTGTGACAATCACCACAGGCGCTGGTAACACGATCCCCGATCCCCGTCCGTAGTGACACCCAAAACGTGGGCGCCGTGGGGTGTCTGCGGCGCGTGAAGAGCGCGGCGTCGGTGGCGCGTGCCGTGCTGGAGCACACGCGCCACACGCTGCTCGTGGGAGAGCTGGCCACGCAGTTCGCGCTCCAGCTGGGCTTCAAAGAGGAGACGCTCGAGACGGACCACTCGCGCCAGCTGCACCAGCAGTGGCGGGACAACAACTGTCAGCCCAACTTCTGGATGGTGGGTATGAGCGGTAACGAGAACGGGTTGTTGTTGTGAACATTGATGGAGAAGGAGCTGAGACGGTGGCGAAAATCTGCTTAGCAATTCGAGAAACAACACGAGAATCTACAAACAAATTTACCATTATTAATCACGTTGCGGGTGCGATTTGGAAGAGCGACGTTGTGAACAAAAACGTACATAGGTTGTAACTTGTAATACACAATTGTGAGGAGCGTATGTGTTGATAGGCATTTAACCAAAAGCGAATGAAAGGCATATGATGATTAACTTATAACTGTACCATATAACTGCCTTGCTCTACCCGACATCAGGGCGGTAGAACAGGAGACGTGAATTTGTTGTTTTACATCCTGCAATGCAGAACGCCTCACATGCTATTATGAACAATGCACAGCTCTTATTGCCGCATTTCACTCCGCTTTCAGAACGTGAAGCCGGACCCAGCGCAGAGCTGCGGGCCGTACTCTCGCGACTGGGCTGCCGCGGCTGCAGCGCAGGCGTCGACTCCTTCATGGGCCAGCGCCAAAGCACATGACACCATCGGGATGGTAGCCATCGACAGTCAGGGAAAGATGGCCGCCGGTACCAGTACGAACGGAGCCATCCACAAGATTCCGGGGTAGGTCAGGTTGAGGATTATGTTGATGAACCGTTCGTGTACTATAGATAAAAGTGGGACAACTGACAACTATTGGTTCGGACTTCGGCTAATTCTCAGAGCAAAGCAATATGGAAGCTGGGAGCAACGTTTCCATGCCTGATCTTGTGCCAGGTTCTAAAGTCTAAACCCTTCGCATGACTGATGATTGATGAATGGTTATCTGCAGTCGTATTATGTCCAATTTACCGTCCATTATCTCCCTTCCATCCCCTCCCCCAACCTGACCAGTGACCAGCTAACCGTCGGTTCTGCTCGCCTCAGCCGCGTTGGCGACAGTCCGGTGCCGGGCGCCGGCGCCTACGTGGACGGCGCGGTCGGAGGCGCGGCCGCCACCGGTGACGGAGACGTCATGATGCGTTTCCTGCCGAGCTTCTTCGCCGTGGAGGCGATGCGGAGTGGCGCCGAGCCGGCCGAAGCGTGTCGCTCGGCTCTGGCGCGGATCGTGGCCCGCCACCCGGAGTTTGTCGGGGCCATGGTGGCTCTGACGAAGGACGGTCGCCACGGCGCCGCCTGTCACGGTATAGACAGTTTCCCGTACAGTGTGGCCGGAGGCGGAGACGGGGTGCGGGTGATAAATGTGAGCTGTGAATGAGCTGTGGGAATCAGCTGGCTGTGAGGGCGATCAGGTGGTCAACGAGACAGGAATTGGGAATCTGGAGCTGCCAGTCGAAGCGGGTTATGGTAAAATTGTGGATTTTTATTCTCTCACTTGTGACGCGGTCTTTGATGACTGATGGGTCCCCCATGCCGTTTATTTCTTTGCTTGCCAATGGAGATTTATGATATTCTATCAAGCAACGATATTATGCGGGATTCAATACACCAACTGTCAACATAGCACATAGCACTGTATTCATCGTGCTTTGTTTTGGTCATGCACTACATACAATATTGCAAATGCAACTACGATGATACTATAGGGATTAGGACGAGTGTTAACCAATGGGCTACGTGACCGATCGAATGACTAGAGTAGGTGCATGGAAGCCGTACTTTTTTACTGAATACCGTACAAAGTATCAGGATTTGTTTAGTCGATGTGTATCCCAGCTGTTACCATTGTTCTGTTCCGTGTTCTGCATGCTTTGCATGTGATCATATCAGTGTTACGTTGTCCTTTGCCGACCAAATAATCATTAAACCCACGTGACGCCGGACGGATGAGTTTGTTTGACGAACATTTATGATGACCCATGGGGTTGATCAGCTGTGCTATTACCTATTTGGTAAAGAACTATTACCTATTTGCTATTACCTATTTGCTATTTGGTAAAGAACACTTGGCAAAATCGCAGTATGACATCGAAAAACTTTATTTTTGTGAACTGAGTCGCTTTCCAATCCCGAGAAGCGGCCTGCCACAGTTGACAATACGCCGAATCGTCGGAGAGAAGTTCAAATGTCTGGGAATGCAAGCGGCTTCAGACTAACGGCGTGAGTTCCGTTCCTCTATTTAGCAGAGGAGCGATAGTTCGGGATCCGTCCCTGACGAAGGCTCAGTCGGACAGTTGTTCAGATACCGCCGCGAATGGTGCTCAAGAACGGACGGCTGGCCCAGAAGGTGTTGCAATGAGTTATTCTAGTGACGAATATCACAGCAGGCCGAGCGACTTCTCCACGACGGCGTGCGGCTGTCCCATCACCTCGGAGGCGTCCACGGCGCCCAGGTAGTCGCTGAAGTCTGTGAAATGTTCAGAGGGTCAGCTCGAGGCCGGATGGCGGGAACGAATGTTGGAAGTTCGGGCGAAAGGGGAAGTACGAAAGGCGGTGAAATTCACTCAAGAGTTATCCGGTACACTTATAACTTATAAGTAAGATATTAAACATTGTTACGAGTATATCGTTCGTTAGCATACTGCAGTTGTCTCTTTGCTTATTAGTTGTAATTGAAAGCTATCTGCGGACATAAAACGTAGAAAATCGTATGAACACACGATAACAATGCTACACAGCCGGTCGACATTCAAGCACTGTTGCGATCTTCCCAATTCCATAAGCCTCCCTAGTCCCTACTCACCGAGCGTCTCGTCGCGTCCGGTTAGCGTGTCCATCATGATGTTGGACGACTGAAGGAAGGGCAGGCGGCCGACGCGGCTGGCGGCGCGCTTCTCCGCGTGCAGCCGCAGCGGCGCGTGCACGCCCTGCACCTGGCGCAGCCAGTCGGAGCGCAGGCCGGCCTCGAGTCGCTCCTGGCGCGCCACGGCCGACTGTACCGGGTGGACGGGGGCGTCCGCCTGCGGCCGGCCCGCCTGCAGACCGTGGGTCAGGCGGTCCACCGCACCGTACTCACGCCGCTCAGTCATCTGCAGAGAGGAGGAAACAACACAGTAATTTAGGCTAGGGAGGTGCATTGCAAGATGTTAACATTGCAAAGTTCCATGCTTCTTTTTCATGACATCTCTACTTCCAGCAGCATGGGAATAAATTATAGTGGATAGGTTATTTGTGGGTTTATCCCAATTTGTTGGAATAAAAATACTCCAAGATGGCCTGGTCCTTGCTACATTACCCTTCCATTGCCCTCACATTTTGCAATGCCTGCTTGCTGCAGACAGGAGAAAGAGGATGGAACCTGGGCCTGCACAGACAGCTTGCCGCTTGCCCAGTGGACAAAAAGCCATCCTGGGTGGGAAGGTTAGCTCAAAAGTGCAAATATGTCCATATAAATCTTTAACATTTAACAGCATCATTAATTCATTATAAATCATTATGAAGCATAACAAAGACAGCAACATAATCACAATCAACAATGCTACTTCAGAATTCAGTAACTTTGTCAAAAATTTGTAAATTGTCAGTGTTGACGTGGCTTCCACAAAACCATTCCTAGCTAGCAGTGCCGCGATTTACACCTTTTGTAAGGTATCCATGATTCTGGATTATTATTACAACTGAATTAGCCGTAGACGTCACATTTTCAGTATAAATCTGCATCCAGAACCGGATAATTTATTGTCATTCGACATCAATCTGATTTTGAACTTATGTTGATGTTAAAGGGACCCTTCCACCTTTAAAAAAGTTTATGAATTGGCATGAAAGTGATGTCGCTCGGTTCAGAAAGAGCGAAAACGAATATCTACCAAATTTCACCGAAAAATATTCACCGGTTTTCAAGATATTAGACTTTTACTTTTGTTTACTTTTTGGGATCTCCGCTGTTCCTAGCGACTTTATTTAAAAGTGCGGCATTTGTTGCGCGCAACGCAGCATATGTTGCGTTGGAGGCATATTTACGTCTGGACAACGAGTTGCGTTGGAGAGGCCGGAAATAGTGGCGAATTCAGGACCGCAAGAATGGACCGTCATGGGAATGATTCTTTTTCAAACCGTGCACTGTTTTCAGCCGAAATTTATAAGTTACTACAAAATATTTTGTAATTACATTTACACTAAGAATAAATGCCATCAGGTTTTAGTTTTACTACATTTGCATTTTGTCAAAAAGCACATAGTGCTGTTACATTGCAGTTTTTGCGCGTTTGTTACAAAATATGAAGCTAATAAGCCCTTGGATCAGAGGTGTCAGTGTAATTGTTCGATTCCCGGGCAATGCACGTGGCATTGCCGCTACCTGACCGCTTGGAACAGCGTGAGAGTTCCGGTTAGCGCCTTGGTCCACTGGATGTGGTGCTTAACCCAAAACCAACCAACCAACCGTCAGTGTAATTCATCAGTGCCAGAGGTTAACTTGAGGGGAAGCTGTGCTAATTGCTCTTGTCCATCCACTAAAAGTTATTTAATATTTTGCTTTGTTTATTCCAAGAGTAGAGGGAACTATTTTTATTTGTGCCTTCATGCCAGAATTGAAGGTGGATCATTAAATTTTCAAGGCAGTTTATAAACAAGCATTAAGTCTTTCTCGTATATCAGCAGTGGCTAAGAAGAGAAGGTTGATCAATCCTGAAGTTCAGTCATCGTACCTCAACTTGGCAGCAAGATCCCCAAGGACAGAGGATATGTTGTATACCTGCCTTGTAAATCAAAGCATTTTTGTGCCTGCAAAGGCTTAAGTTATTTGTGGTGTGTTCGGAGTGAGGCTATATGGCCATTTTTGTTGTATGTTTATGTGGAGATTGAATATAACTGTGAACCTGTGCTTGTTTGTATACTTACTACAGTCAAACAGGGAACCAGCACATTCATTTGTATTCATTTGTATTCATAGAAAAACATCACAAATACCATTGGTAGGTCCTGGTGATGGTCAGCGGATCGTACTAAATTCGATTCGTCTGGATTGGTCGTAGCATGAGTCTCCTCTTTCAAATACACATCGAACACAACATTATACACTACAAGTACACACATTACAACATCGCTTTGAAGTCAGAAAGCGTCTCTATTGCGGCTAAATTTACATCAAGTTGGTTCCATTCTCGGATAGTTTTAGGAAAGAACGAATTGTGGTATGATAGTAGTCGCGATTGTATCCGCCTTATCTTTTTGGGATGATCGTTCCTCCCTATGTAGTTAGGCCTAAGAATAATATCATCAGTGTCATGTCTACTCTCGCCATGGTACAATTTGAACAAAAAACACAATCTGGCAACTTTGCGTCGTGCTTCCAGCGTGTCCCAGCCAATTGATGACAACATATCTGTGACGCTGCTATCCCTACTGTAATCGTTCAAGGTAAAACGAGCTGCACGCCTCTGTATCATCTCTAAATTGTGTTTCATTCCTTCTGCGTTGGGATCCCAAACACAACTTGCATATTCTATTAATGGCCTAACTAAAGATGTATACACTGTTTCTTTTACTACTTGTGGACAGCCTTTAAAATTTCTTTTCACAAATCTTAACATTTGGTTACCTCTACTAGCCACATACTGTATATGTCTTTGCCAACTACAAGTATTCGAAATGAACACTCCTAAGTATTTGAACTCTTCTACTACTGGAATTGCTGAGTTATTGAAAAAGTACTTTGGGACTGCCGCACGCTTGTTTCTTGACATTCTCATTATAGCACATTTATTTACATTTACTGACATTTTCCAATCCTTACACCATTGCAATAATGCATCTAGGTTTGTCTGCAACTTATGAGTAGAGTCTATGTTACTTACAACATCTGTGTATAGTACAACATCATCAGCGTACATGCGTATCGAGCAATCAATTCTATCAGGCAAGTCATTTATATATAAGAGAAACAAAATTGGCCCGAGTACACTTCCCTGCGGAACTCCTGACGTTACCTGTATCTCGTCAGAATGGCAATTATCTAACACAACACTTTGTTTTCTGTTACATAGGAATGCTTTAATCCAATCAATTACTTTTTTATCTAACTTGTACGTTTCAAGCTTCTTTAGCTGCTAGTAAGCTGCTAGAATCTTTTGTTCGAGATAGGCTACTGGAGCATTTCCTTGAAAACGACCTACTTACCAATGACCAGTTTGGGTTCCTGCCTGGAAGATCATGTGCCCTACAGTTACTGTTGGTGATTGAAGAGTGGCTCACCATCCTGGACAGGAGAGGTGCTGTGGATGTGGTATATCTGGACTTCCAGAAGGCGTTTGATCGAGTGCCCCACCAGAGACTTCTCAGGAAATTAGAAGCATATGGCATTGGAGGAAACCTGCTCCGCTGGGTATCTGCCTTCCTAGCAAACCGGAGGCAGAGAGTTGTGGTAGAGGGCGTTTGCTCGAGCTGGACGTGGGTCAGCAGTGGCATTCCCCAGGGCTCAGTACTGGGACCATTGTTGTTTCTAGTCTTCATTAATGATCTCCCAGATGCTGTCAGAAGCCGTTCTATGCTTTTTGCAGACGACACCAAGCTCTACCAGGAAGTGACCACCCTTCAGGACAAGGCTCTCATGCAGCAGGACATTGATGCCTTGGGACGCTGGGCAGACAGGTGGCAGCTCCCCTTTAACCAAGATAAGTGTAAGCTAATGCACTTAGGGTCCTCTAACGAGCACTTCAGCTACCTGATGAACGGTTCCACTCTAGCTCAGGTGCATATGGAGAAGGACCTTGGACTCGTCATTGATGAAGACCTTAAGTTCCATGAACAGGTGGCGGCTGCTGTGGGTCGTGCGAACAGAGCTCTTGGACTGGTGAAGAGGGCTTTCAAAGCCCTAAACAGTCATTCTCTGCCTCTCCTCTACCGGACTCTGGTGCGTCCTCACCTTGAGTATGCAAATGTGGTGTGGGGACCTACATTCAGATCGGACCAGGATGCCATTGAGAGGGTCCAAAGAAGAGCAACTAAGCTGGTTCGTCCATTGCGTCACCTTCAGTACCAGGATCGACTTCGAGCCTTGGACCTCCCCTCCATGTACTATAGAAGGATGAGAGGAGATATGATAATGGCGTACCAGATTCTGACAGGATGCCTGAGAGTGAAAGTAGCCGACCTTCTGCAGCTCGACACCTCAGATCGAGCGCGTGGTCACCATCTGAAACTGAAGAAGAGACGAGTGAACTCACATCTTCGCCAGACCTCCTTCTGTCATCGCATAGTGGACAGCTGGAACAGTCTCCCTGCAGATGTTGTCGCGGCACCGAACTTGAACACATTCAAGAACCGTCTCGACAGGCTGTGGGTGAACAGGAAGTATACCCTGCGAACTGATTAAGCATGTGGTGCCAGGATGAGCCAAAAGCTACATGGTTGGTGTAAGGGAGAAGCAAATGACCGGATTTCCTACAGGTCCTTTGTTGACCGTCCTAAAAATCCGTAACCACTATTCTATTCTATTCTTAAGAGGTGGTAATGTGACACTTTGTCAAAAGCTTTGCTGAAGTCGATAAATGCAAGATCTACACTATGTTTTTGGTCAAGTGACGAGAAAGTATCTTGACACAACATTATTAATTGTGACTCACACGATAAGTGCTTTCGGAATCCAAACTGAAACCGCGAAAATAGGTTTGTTTCTTCTAAATAAGTTGTGATTGCACAAGTTAAAATGCGCTCCATCAATTTACAGCAGATGCAAGTAAGGGATATTGGACATTCACATAACATACTCACCTAGCACCTAACTCATAGCTGTGTCCTGCAGGATTTGTATTTGTTAATGTCTCAAGCAAGCACTAAAGCAGCTTAGTTTTCATTTCCCACATTTTTCTGAGCATCTAACATGACATACAGCAGTGCAGAGCAGCTTCAGATAAGAAACACTTTAAATGCACAGACTCACACCAGCCACCCAATGAGCCAGTTCCGCAGTGGACTGTTTCCCTGGGTGCAGCTTAGCAAGGTGAGCTAACTGTTGGCAAGTTGAAGGTTAGCAGGTAAGATTGAGTTAGGGTGAGTACCTACCTATAACTGGGTGCTACTGCTATGCAGGTCTTGGCTAGGTTGCAAA